CGAATATTTAAGTTGGATTTGTCGAGTCTGTAGTGATGTTAATCACCTATATGATTTTCGTATTTGAGGTATGATTTTTGATGGAAGAATAAAAACATAAAAGGAAGATATTGGTGATCAATATTAAAATAAAATTCAATTTTGAGTGGTCTCACAATTTAATTAATAAGTTCATGTTGTGCTCGTTTAATAAATGAGTCGGCTCGACTTAATTAGTTTGTTTAAGCTTTTTAAATCGGCGTGGTCTAACTCATTTAATATAAACTTTAATACTCTAAAAAAATATTAATTTGTTCGCGAACAAGTCTGACTCAAGTGTTTCATTTACACTTATAAAAAACTTATTTAACACTTTGTTTGACAACCAATAAAAAAAGTTGAGCTGAACGAATCAAACATTATAACAAACTCATTTATCAACTCGTTTAATTAGTTCGGTTCAACTATTTTTTATAAAAGAGTCGAATCAAACTTTATTCTTGAACAACTAATTTGTCTATATTATTTTTCAACGAACACATTTCGAACTCAAACTTTAAAGTTTTTAGATCCAATTTAGATCCAACTCGAGCTGAACAACAAAGTCAATTGATCACTCACTACGAACAGAATTGAAACTATCTACTATATGTTCGGTCATATAAAATTAAATTAAATTTATGTTATATCAACAAAGGCTCATAATTCCTTGTAATATAAAATTCTTCAATTAGTATTGTACCATTTACCATTTCATTTTCCTTACTGAAGATTCAATTAATATTAAAATACCATGTACTACTTCAAGTTGTACCTAACGCACCCCAATATGTACCCGATAAATTGCGCCAGGTTTTTGCAGCTCACGGCTTCACGGAATAAAAAGATGCATGTTTCCTAATTAACATTAATTAATGTCATGAAATTTGAACACGACATAATCAAAAAATACGTGACAAATCATATGATAGGTACAACACGATGTGAGACGGTCTGACCCGATCTGAATAATAGTTGTTTCATTTGAAACTAATAAAGAAAAAACGAGTTATTCACGAATAAGCTAGTTTGACTCAACTCATTTAAAAAACAAGTTCAATTAATTGTTTGAGTTTGACTCGCATAAGTAAACGAATGAGTCAAGCTTTATGATATCTTGAATTTAAATAGCTAGAAGACTTTTAAAAAAGAAAAAGAATATTTCTGATTTGTATCTCTTGTTGTTGACTTCTTGTAATAATTGACAGTGTATTGATTTTTTTTTTTTTTTTTNAAAAAAACTGAATACTTGATTTAAACAGCACTAGTAATCGCCCGTGCGATGCACGGGAAAATTATTATCTTTACGCTTTTTAGAAGGCACTTTTGTATATAAATTGTGTAATAATGCAAAGATCATGATCATAAGAATAGATATATAAACATATAATTAAACTGAAAAGATCATATATTACTGAACACTTCTCTATATACAACATTATTGGTTTGATTCTTTGGCATCTCATCTTCGCCACAAATTAAGATTTTCAAACATTTTCGGTTAGTGACATGTGAGACAGCAACATATAACTGGCCATGAATGAACACTGGTTTCTTAAGAAATAAGCAAACATGAGATAAGGATTGTCCCTGGCTCTTATTTATAGTTATGACGCAAGAAACCATAATGAGAAACTGCCGCTGCTGGAACTTGAAAGGAATTCTAACATCAGAAGGAGTTATGACCATTCTTGGAATCAACACCTTATCACCAGCATGATCTCCTGTGAGTATCTTACACTCAAGAACATGAGTGGATAGCTTTGTCACAACCAATCGTGTCCCATTACACAAACCCATAGAATGATACATGTTCCGCAACAACATGACTGGAGTTCCAATTTTCAAATACAACTCATGGTTCGGTATTCCGGAACACTTGATACTATTTAAAAACTCAGGCGTATGGAGATCAGACAAAAAATCATTATTAGAATCCGATTTGCATGTACTGTCAGAGCTCAAGTACATACGACCATCCAACAAATTCAATGATGTCATGTACTCATTGATAGACTCGGTCACATCCAACGTCGGTGCTAAAATTCAAATTACAAATTAACTCCCAATTTTTCAAAGAATTTAAAAAAAGTTATCAATTGTAGTAAAATCTAACATTTTAGGCGAGAACTTTTTTTCAACTTAAAGTAAATCCCTATTGTTGTTTTATAGTAGTAGATTGAATTTCCAAAAGAAGTAAGTCAAAGGTTTTGACTCCAATTTTTTATCAAGTGTATAAAAATGATTTTTTAATCAACCTCTTTCAATATATATATTATTATAGATATATATAGATATAAATATAGATATATAAGTATATATATATAGTACTCCCTCCTTTTTTAGTAAGTGTCGTTTTGAAAAGTTGAAGAATTTTTTTTTGTCAATAATAACCCTCATTAATGAGGATAGAGATGGATGTTTTGAGAAAAGATGAAGAATGAATATGAAAGAANAAAAAAAAGGAGGTAGTATCTATTAATATATTAAAAAAACAAAGGATTTATTATATATAATAATTTAAAACTTACCAAGAATGTTTAAATTACTTATAAAGAAACTTGTTTTATATGGCTTGATATTACATTAACATTGATATAATTTGATCTCCTACAATCATGCTCCCTAAGTAACTAATAAATTAGATATCCTTGGTATATATATTTCACATGTGACCTTACAATTCGGAAAGAATCAATTGACATTATCCTCATCCACAATTCAACATCATCCTACCGGTTTTTTTGTTAAGAAATTGGTTCGAATATTGCTTTTAAAATCTCATTTTTTTTTACTCAAATTGCACAGATTTTCCTAAATTTTTAAGTCAAACAAATTAATTAAAAAGTCAAACATTCCATTTAAGTATTTTTCTAATAACCTTTTTATATATATTAAAAAGGATCATTATTTACTCCTTAAAATGAAGCCGATTTTCCTACCAATAAACCGATTTTTTATCAAACAAATTGATCCGAATATTTTTTTAAACCAAATAAAAAATCGTCAATTTTTTCCCAAAAATGCAACTGAATTTTCCTAACACTGCACCGATTTTTTTACCAAACAAATTGAATTGAAAATAATTTTATTAAAAAATGAAAACAATTTGTTAATGTTTATGCAACTGTCTATTTCCTAAAAAAATGATATGAACGTAACCAAAAAAAGAAAAATGATATGAACTTACCAAAATCTCAGTAAAACACATAAGAATCCAAAAAAATCGAAGCATTTAAAATTTGAAAAGTTGCACACAATTTTTCCTAAATAATTGGATAAGGTGACTTTAAATATCAAAGACGAACCGCTTTTGTTACCAAAAATGTGGACACAATTTTGAATGTACATCCCGTCCAAATATCAGTTTTATTCTAAAATAAAAATTGCACAGGTTTTATCCAATTTACACACTTTTTTTAAAGAAAAAATTATTCAATAAGATTGAAAGAATTGGGTTAGAATTATACAACTATTTGTTTTCTAAATCCGTATCCAATTTGTACGGTTTTTAAGTTAATTTGTATTTAGAATTGTTTTCATAAATAATTAACACCTTTTTTGCATAAGAATCTCCAAATTTGTTACCAAAATATATGATTTAAATTTTAGTAAAAAAATAAAATATGATGCAAAAAAAATGAGATTCAAATTCTGCCATAAGAATCTCCAAATTAGTTACCAAAAAAACAGGTTTCAGGTTTTGTTACTAAAGATTCAAATGTATGTTTTTGAACATTCCATTTATAGTAAGTCAATTGTTTTATTTAGTAGGTCAAACTTTCTATTAATGTATTTTTCCAACAACCTCTTTATATATATATAGATTTGTTATATTGGTTTGCCCCAAAAATTGATGACACCTGTCAAGTGAAAGAGATAACTATATAGAGGTCCAAATGGGCCAACTAATGGGTATGGACATCCAGATTACAGTTTAAAATAGCCCGCAATATCACAAATTGCAACACGTACGCATAGTACAGCTGTATGGCCCAATGTTAGCCCTCAAATCACTTTCAGTAACGTTATCCCAACTCCCAACTGAATTTTGTGTATGTATGTATCTCTTTGAACTAACAAAATTGTTTCCTAGATTAGACATATTGAAGTATAAACTAATGAAAATTGATAAAGATCATTAAGATTTTAATCAGGTAAACTAATTGTTAGACAATTATACTTTCTCAGCAGATATGCATATATTCGAATTTCAAAAAGTAACGAATATAAAAATATAACATGTCATAACATAAGTATTTATTTTTTATTTAAAACAATAAAAAATACAAATGAGGTATGGGGCCATGGTGGTTAGAACAGGGGGTAGCTTAGCAAGATAAATAATAATAATAATAATTTAAGAAAAAACCTTGTCAAGGTTATGTTTGGAGTTATGGGCCCAAATTGGACAGAAAATACCAGCCCTAACTGTCCATTACCTACTTTATCCTTCCAATTAAAACCCACTACATTCAATGGGACCTTGTAGTCTAAAGCAAAATTAAGGCCCAAGTTCAAGCCCCACAAAGGTCAAAATTAATGAATGTTGATGACACCCAATCCATGCCATTTTATGTACGTAGGACACGTGTAATTCAAGACCTAAATCGTATAATATTTTTTGTTTCAAGACAAATGGATATGATGAAATTTTGTATATGTATTGTAGATGCTGAATTTTAATACAAAAATATGTATTTGTTGAAAAAATGCAATATATGTAAATGAATCGTTGAAAATTGAATAATTTTGGTGCCAATTGAACCCAAGAAATATTACTATAGTCGAAAATATTCATCTACCACATTAAGATTTGTCCATTTTATGTGATGTACCAATTTTCTGTTACATCAATCATTTGAAAAGAGTTTTTTAGGGCGCTTGTTTATAAATTATTTCATTTTCAATCCAATTCATACTCAAAATTTAACTCAACTTTAACCCAACTCCATTATATTTAATATTATT